AAAAAAAAAAAAAAAATGTAGACCAAAATCAGCCGTATTCTCGGAATACGTTTTTCTAAAAAAAAATTAACTAGAACAACGTATTTAAATAATACGTCTTTATATATTATTATTAGATAAAAAAAATATCAAAATTCATCACCCGAATATTCGAATATAAAAAAATAATAAAATAAAATACAGTAAAACATATTCTCGAAATACGTTTTTTGTAAAACGGATTTCGGGAATACGTCTACCGACACTTTTTTAATATATATTTAAATTAAAACGTATTCTGAGAATACGTTTTACAATTAAAACTATCGGTGAACGTATTCTCAGAATACGTTTTTAGTATTAAATATATAAAAAATAATAATATTTTCCTCTCCATTTCATTTACGCGAATCACTTACAGAGAGTAGAAAAAGAGGAGCAAGAAGAAGCGAAAAAAATCAGGAAAAAAAACTCGATCCAATCTTTACTTCGGTGTGAATCGACAACACCGATACGAGCCTCATTTCCGGTTAATTCATTCGCACGAGGTATATTGGCTTATCTTAACCTTTTACATTATTTGGAGTTGTTTGGAGATTGATGATTTCTATAATGTTTTTGAATGTGGTTGTGTTTGAAGATTGAAATTTGTTAATTGATTATCGATTATGTGTGTATGTTGAATTGAGGATTGAATTTTTGTGTGTAAATTGTCAATTGTGTATTGTTTAATTGTTGTTGGGGTTAGGGTTGTTCGACATTAGGGTTATAAATAGGGCTTTCAATTTATTCGAATTATAGATGAATTTTATGTTATTGTTCGATTATGAGTATTAGGTTTTGGAGGATTATTTGATTGAGACTTTTTTTTTTGTTGGAGTAAAAAATTGAGTTTTAAATTTTAGACATTATGTGTTGTTGTAATTGTAAAGAATTGAAATTATTTTTGCAACAGGTATAAAATGGCATATCCCGGTCCATACCTTGTTAATTTGTACTGGCATTTTGGGAAGGAAATGTTAAGCGATTTTGTTTCATTTAAAGATTGTCCGAGTGGTTCATTTATAATTTCGGGGAGGATATCATATGAACAGTTGATACAGATGATTAATGCAAAATGTCAGTTTGAAGAAGGTTGGACAATTCAGGAGATTACTATGATGATTAGCCAACCTGATGGTTCATGGAATCCCGCAATACCCAATAACGATAGTTTTGAATGGATTTATTACTTTCCTAGTATGTCCATGGTGTATTTGCATTTATCGTTGCAGGCAAATACACCTGTTACACAATTTGAGGATGTTACTCCTTGTTACGGGGGAGTGTTTGATGTCGAGGGTACATCGACTTCTCATCTACCTAATTTTGGAGAAGGACATCGAGAGAATGGGTGGCGGATGAGGACGATGAAGATGATTTTACAGACGAGACCTCAGAAACCGAATCAGATAGATCGGTTAATGAGGAGAGTGAACCTGAGTTCATCGAAGAAGAACACCCATTTTTTATTGGTGGTCGGCACATATACCGCGAGATGGGTGAATGGGACCCGTCCAGGATAGATGCGAACGAGTATGCTATTCCACGGTGGAATGGCGACATTGAGACCATACGTTTGGGTACTGTTTTCCGGAGCAAGGAAGAAGCCCAAACAGGTCTAATGGCTTGGAACGTCGATAGATTGCGGGAGGTTTGGACAAAAGATTCAAATCAGAAGTCATTCAAACCGGTCTGCAAATCGAATGCAGATGTGCCTTGTCTGTGGAAGGCTCGGGTGAATAAGGCCAGACGGTGTGATGATTTGTGGGAAGTAACTGAATGGACTGACCAACACACTTG